AAGTATCTACTGGCTCTCATTTACATGCAAAAAATGTTTTAAAGAGAGACGAAGTCAAACTCAGACACTCGCTGTTGACTCGCGCCGGAGATCCGCCCCTTTTTGAGGGATTCGCGTGAAAGGGCGTAGACATGCGCGAGACAATATTTTGACAGTTTTTGCGGATGGTCGCGAAAGGAAATCGGGAGATGATTAGTGACTCAGCGAGCAGTTTCGCAATATCGACGCGCATTTCAAATCTCAGCTCATATTGCATCATTCCAGGTTTCTTTGCTAGCTATTTTCAATTCATGCATTCCATCCATCCCAGCTAATCCCTCTTCTTTCCATTATTTCATTCCAATCCAAAATTAACTTTATTTGAAATCCAATTTTGAAGCTTCTTCTCTGGAAATCGAAGCTCGACTATCTCCGTGATTGTGGGATTGTGGAATTTGAGTTCAAATTACATTGGTTTAGGAACCAGCTGAGGCATTCAAGGTATTTCAAGGCATGATGATAGAGATGGAGACGTAGATGGGAGATGTACGGGCTTATGCACTGAATCCGGTAAGAGCTAAACTCCTTCCTCCAAAGGTAAGATGTCAGTGCACTTATTCTCAGTCTTCGTCGACATGACTTTCTTTTCAGAAAAAACGTGTGATTGAGACTACGGCAAGCAGCTCTTCTGCTGTCAAGGAAATAGAAAAGACCAGCCCCGACGAGTTCTAGGCGATCTGCTACTACTTTTTTCTAATTTAAATTGCTGCAATTGCTGCACTTACATATCACTACCATACCATTTGCCTTAACTCTACCCCCCGCTTTTGCGTATCACTTAATTGCATTCCGAGCTTCTCATTGTTTAGAAGATTACCAAGTACACTTCTATCTCATCATGTATCTCCATATCGTGAAGCTTTAAGATAGTAAACATAGTAGTTTGACTCCCCCGAGGTTCTTATTTGATTTTTTCGCGTGGCTACATTGAACATAACTCTAACTCTAACTCATAACTCTAACATAACTACTTCAATCTTAGGAACATTGAAATGTTCCTAAGATTAGTAAATTCACTATGTGCTAATGAAGTTTCCAATTAATCCTTATGTCATTTTAGAAGTAATAAATTGGTTAGTTTAGACTTTGTAGAATTCATATATATACGTGTACATATATACATATATATATATGTACACTTATATATACATACTAGTGAACCATGGGCCCTTATGTGTTGCATGCCAGAGAACGCAAAAATTCAAGGTTGCATCTCAGCTGATTCACCTAGGCAGTGGACATGCTGCCCTTTATGAAAAACAGTGAAGGCAAACCCATTCCTCAAATGTTTTTATGGCCAATATGGCTCGCTAATCTACAACCTCAGTTTCCATGTTGTTGTTGCACAACTTTTCTCAGCGAGTTTCATGGCCAAAGTACCTAAGTTTTTTCCCCCGGAACTTTTCAGTGAGAGCTTAAACTCCACGGTACGCATTCCTTCTCCCGACCCAAAACTGCTGCAGTCAGTGCAGAAGCACCAAAATCCATTCCTCAAATTCTTTCAAGACCAGGATGTCCAAAGTTCCTTCACCCAAGAGTACTCTTTCAATGGTGATTATCCCTTCTCTTCTCGCCCTTCCTCGCGTTATTTTATTTCTTCGGAGTTCCCACGTTGAGCTCAGAATCTCCGCGGGTTTTCCTACCCTTTTGATTTGTAACGCTGATTCCATGGTGCCCATTCAATGTCCCATCCCAGGGTGCTCGGAGTTATCCCCCCCCCGGACTAATTTTCTGCTAAGCGGTTGCGCAGTCTCCCTTTCCCCTCATTTTACTTCCTCACAATTCCCACGTTGAAGCCCAGGCTCTTCATCCTGCTAAGCACCCAAACTTCTTTCATCCAAAATCTTTTTGTTCAGAGCGCTGAGTTTAACGGTGGCCACTCCTTCTCCCTGCTCAAACTCAGACAATCGCCGGGAGCAGACGGTCCGCAAACTCGCGCTTTTCTGCAAGCGGTCAGCAGGATTTTGGGGCGTGTCTAAACCTTCAGCGAGCGGTATTCCCGCGCTCGGACTATTTTTACGCAGCTTC